GCTACGAAGGAGACTGGAAACCGATCGGTTAAGCGCTTAATCGATAAATAGGGCAGTTAGCCAATCAATTCGGTGTGTTGGTCATCATCCCGCCCTTTCCCCCACCCCTTCCCTCCAGTAATGTGACATTGAAGAAATACAAAGAGCTGAAGTTTGAACAAGAAACTGTTACAGGAAATTTGGAGGGGGAGGGGAATAGAAACAATAGGTAACAAACGGAAGGGAAATGCATCAAGACCAACATTTGGGAGTCATTTGATTTTTAATTGTCTCACAACTGAGGTAGGAAGAAGGAAATCAAAGTGCAAACGAAGAAGACCAGGGTACGACCGTGAAGGAAGTTCTCTCCCCATGCACACCCCACCCCTTTCCCTTAAGGGTAGTTAGAAAGGTTGAAAACACGCGATTGTCGTATAGTCTTACGGAGATGCGTAAAAAATTAGTAACGAAAATATTCGGTATTATCCATTGAACTTTATCTCCTTGAAGTAACAAGTGGCTCTGTTTCGCTGTTTAAGCTTGACAATCCGCGAATTGCATGCTTATTATATTTCAATTTCTTGGATATAATGCAACAAATGGCAACAACAACTTCAATACTTCCGATGCAAATCAACGCTACAGAGACAAAAGGGACAGCTCTCATGGCAATCAATACACTCTTCATTTTGTTCGCAGACGACGCATCCACTTTCACGGTGTTGTTAAAATACATTATGGGCAAGATCACCTCCTTTACACCGGCCATTTGCACCAAGAATTTTACATGTTCAATATTCAAGTTGAGTTGAAGCCGTAAACTCAGGTGAAGAGGAAGGCCAAAATTTGGTTCAATGTCAAAGAAGGTGCCGTGTTCTTCTTTGACTGGGTTAAGGCCTTCAACATTTTTTACAAGAGATGGATCGCCTTGATAAAAATGCGGTTGAGACGCCACAATGGCTGGTACGGAACCGGCAGAGGGGCCTTTGCAAACACTTGCATCGAGAATGCCGCTTGGAAAACATCCATTGGGACAGAAGCCTTTGTTGGCCGGGTTCACGCTCGCGTTCTGCCACAGTTCCTCTGGGTTCGTAAATCTCAATGTCTTCACACTATCAATATTTGTGTGAGAGTCAAAAACAAAGCTCATGGACCTGCAGAGTTGTACGTAAAACGCATAGAGAATGTCTCCTGTACTGGTTTGAGGTGGAAATTGCATGCCATCGCTTCCATTGAACATGTTTGCCCAACGAGATTTCCACAAACCTACATCAGATCTTCCCTTCCATCGAGTCCAAACTGCAGCACGGCTGATATCTGATGCTCCAGTGTAAGTGGTTGTAACGCCATCGTAAGTATTATTCTCCATCATTCGGAATATAGGATCAATATCCGGAAGGAAAGACAAATGAAATTTTCGCTTGAGGTCAGCAAAAACTCAAACACGGGATCTTTGTATCCCCAGAGTAACTCTTCAACTGTGTTAACCCTGAAGAACTCTTCCTTGAAACGAGCGAAAATCATGCTGAATATCAAAGATGCACCGGAATATTTTTTTTTTGAAACTTGGGAAAGAATAACAAGCGGTATGTTTGGGAGCGTGACATTATCAGTGTGAGGATTACAAGACGAACACGAGCTATCGACATCGAAGACATACTTGGTAAATTTGTTATAGGATACAGTGCTATTTTCGTTCCATGTAATGTTTTCCTTCGTCTGGTATACTCTGTAACTATACGGTCCTTTCTGACTAACACAAGGACGGTTGCCCTGCTTCATTTCCATAGGATTCTCTACATTGAACACATAGAACTGCATTAGAACAGGGACAGTTGGTGATCTCCATTGCTGGTAAATAGGAGAGCTCGGTTTAATCACAAGCTTCGAGTCGATTATGGAATGTATCCATGCAACAGCTTTGCAGAGACTCACAGTGCCAAGGACGATTAATAACACACCGGATATTAAAAGGAAAATGACTTTTTTCTTCGTTTTAAAATAGCTTCCATCAGTTTTTGTCGTCGTTGTCGTGTGGAACATGCCTTAAGCCGAGTTTACTCCAACGATTAAAACAAACAAATTGGCTTTTTTTTTCTTGGCTGTCTAGACATCAAAGAACCTTTCGCGACAGAGTCAATTATTGCATATTAAACTCGGTTGAATTATTCCGCACACAATCGATGCACTCCTTCAAATTCTATCCAGCTTTCACATAAGGCGATAATTATTGCTCTTCTTTCCAAGTAAATCGTTTGGAACGCACAGTAAAGTGAACCAGCGGTGATAGGGGCGGATTGGGGGCGGCTGTCTCCGTGCGTGCAGGCTTGAACTTGTTGTCACTTGCTTAACATTGCGCCAGGCAATCCAAAGTCAGTAACTGCACGTAGTTAACAATTTAATACTTCAGGCAAGACCAAGGTATGTCCCCAGAGAAACCAACACCAACTTAAGATGGTGCAATCTTCGAGACACTAAGCACGGCATAAAATCTAAAACCCAGACCATGTAAAAATAATACCGCGACGATTTTAGAAACAATAGACAATGTGTCAAAAGGGCGACCCTACATGCATCAAATCAGTTTGAACTGTTACACACGGCATGCAAACGACATACTAGGTTTCCTCGCGTATTTGGTTTCACTGGTCGTGGCAAGATTGCCCTCGGTCTACGCGTATAAAATGTCGTTGAATTATTTTTAAGATGAATGGTGAAATACAAGCTTAAGTGAGACCACTGAGTCACTCCAATATCCCTTTAGTTTGATAAGTATGAAGTCGAAAGATCAGAAACAATGTTTTTGCATAGGAATCGTTTTTCAAGGTCAGTAAAACGTCGGCTTGCGATTTGACCTCAAAAAAGGATCCCACACTACGCATATTGACGTTTAGAGAAAAGTAAACTTCATATCAAGTATCTTGCTTATGAATGTAAATTCCCTTTATTTGGATTACGTAATTGTACCTCTAAACTGTCGCAAGTTATTGGATTTTCAACTCGATGGATCTTTGTCAAAAATCCCTTACCCATCATTTGTCACTGTAGGTTTCCTTAATTAAAAGTTCACAGAGCACGATTGTACGAAAGATAAGAGCTGATTTGTCGGACTTGAGGACCGCTTTTCTCTCACAATTAAATCAAATGAATGGTATGTTGATCTACAATGATACAAAAACTACGTCTCATATAATGATCCTCCCAGATCCCCGAGCCTCTAAACCGACCCAAGTTAGTGGATTTTCAATTCGAAGCAGCTTTACCACAAATCCCTTACCATCATGTTACATTCTATATTTCCCAATTTCACAGTTTAAGGAACATACTGTCTTACTGTGCGCGATTGAACAAAATATCTTATCTTTTAAATAAAAAGATGTTTCGGAACTGAGTATCGGTTTTCTCTTTTTTAATAAATAAAGTAAATAGCATTTTCACCTGCGAATGATTAAGAAGTAGCGTAATGATCCTCGCAGGTGAGTTTTAAATAAAACAATTTCAGAGAAGTCTGGAAAAATTCAGGTTTGACAGGATTCAAACCCGACCTACTGAGCTACAAGGCCACAACTTGGGAACGCACCAAACTGAATCCATTCCACGTCTCTCTCTTACGGTCTTACTGAAGAACGTAGAGGGATAGCGAAGTACACACCCATACACCCCGTCTCATCACAAGTAGACTCTGTACGTGCTAGCAGTGTAGAGGGAACATCTCTTCTTTTGGAGATGTGGATAAATCGGATAGCACATCTTTCATTGCTCGAGGAGCATCCAATGCGCGTACGTAAGACCGTGTGATTGCGAAAGTGGAGAGAACAAACGCGTCAAAGGTCAATACACGCCCCATCTCGTCCCAATCTCTTCCCGTCAAATTTTTTTTTGTGTTGAGGAACCGGTCATTATTTAACAGCGAGGGGCGGGGGGCGGAAGGGGTCGGGGATTTTAGCTGCGTCACAAGAAAATTTACCTGATCCCCCCAAAGGTCTTTAAGGATAATACCGATCCTTTCTTACTGGCAGTCAATTTTCTATAGTCCCCTCTATACTCTGTTAGTGACGACTGAGCCCCACTCCCTTCCCCCCCTGAAAACCACGTGATCCCACAAAATCCTCCTACCCCTTCCCCGGCGATAAACAATGGTTAGTCTATACGAGTCTGATGGAAGGGAGAAATCTTTTTTTTCAGAAAAATCTCTGCCAAACTTTGGGAACGCTCTACATTGTAAACTCAGTGCAGCCTCTCCATTCCATTAATTTTACTTCACTGTAAAGAACTTGTGAACAGAGGCAATTGATGTTATACAGTTCAAAAATGAAGTCGCGAAAGTCTTCTGGGTTAAGTAAAAATGTTCAATAACTATCATATAGCACGCATAGCAAGCTCAGTAGATTTACTTGTAGCACAAAAATAAATCCGTTATTAGCTGTTCTCTCTTCTCTCCGCGCCCATCTCAAGATATTTCCCTTACAGAGGCTGCGCGTGTCAGGCGTGGGTTCTCACGCAGCGCCGGGACGCTGCCTTTTTTAATTCGCCAATCACATTACACCGGAAAAGAGGGTCTACATGAATTCTTAATACTAATTATCCAGCGCTTTCGAGTGGTATACCACCAAAGGTCCTTCAACCACTTGTATTTTCTCGGAATAAGGAGCCTTTCTGCTCTTCCTTACCGTGAAACGGACACTCCCGCGATATCCCATATGCGTATATGTGGTAAAAAAAAGCATACTTTTCCGACCCCTTTTCGTCGAAGCTTAGTCAAAGATTTTATGTGTTTGGGTATCAAATAAGGTAAGTTTTGTTTTACCCGCAGAGTGGGGGGTAGAATGGAGCTTGATAAAAATTTTTTGCACCGTCGCAATTCTTTCAGGTCGCAAAATAGCGAAGGGAAATCTCTTACTTTGATCTGACATAGGGCAAGGTTTTGATTAAAGAAAAATCTCACATCCCCTACTGAATTTTACATGAGTATCCCCCCTCCCCCCTACGTCTAAGAAGTAAAAAAACCTGGTGATATTTACCTGGATATCAGTCCAGAGAACACCTCATAGTCTGCGTCTGTCTTAGTGACCACAGGATACCCACCATGAGGTGTGTCAAACAACAAATGAGTAAGGCGAGACACAGATTCCACTTTGTGCACAACCTTATATACACGAGAGAAAAAAGGCGTCAGGATATGGAAGGACCGTCCGCTCAGGTTCAAGAAGATAACTGCCACGGTCCCTAAGGTTAAGACCTGACAAACAAGCCGCACTCTACCCAAATTGATCATAACCATTACAATTTCCTCAAATGTGATTGGCGCTGTAGTAATTGCTTAGAGTTAGGGTGCTTTATTTTTCACTAATCATTCTGTAGAGTTGTGATCGGACAGTGTAATCGGACAGTTGGCTGTAATCGGACACCTGTATGAAGGAAAAGCGCGGAATATTTGCCTCGCTTCCAAAACGAGTCGGTCCTCGTTGCAAAGTTTTTAGAAACACCCAAAAGATGTCTGAGAGGCACCGGTTCGAACCTCACCAAAGCCTATTTATTTTTTTTTTTTATATTCTACTTTCTGTCGAAACTTTGATTACAATTAACCTGTAAAGATCACTTCGTCTTTTGCGACATTCCAAACGGTATACATCAATCTACTTACTATTGCAGGAGAGGACATGGCATCGCCAGCTCAAAACAACTCTAAGTTAATCCTAAAAACAAGAAGCAAATGTTGATAAGGTGTATTTTATAAATAAATAAGATTGTGAACAATCTAGGAATGTCCTGGCGTGGCTCCATTACACTCTGTGATTGTTCTAGAAAACGTGCCAAAAGACTCAAAACTAATCGTGCCTTGGCCAATCGCATTTTCCTTATTTCAGGCCGGTTACATGACTTTATTTGCTAAGGCGTAATATGCTCGTTGTCATATATACCTCTGCATACGCCTACAGGATCAACCGCTTACCATAAAGTGTAAATGCATACGCAGACGTTGTACAAGAGGTCTGAACTGAGTGTTAAACAAGAACAAACTTTAAAGACACCAAAAGTAATCACGCATTGCATTGGTTTTACGTCAGTTTTCTCTCTGATTGGTCTAGAAAACTCGCACTTCTCTTTCGACCAATCAGATGCAAAGACCAAAGTTAATCAAGACCTATTATCTCACATTTTCCCGAGCTTCGGATAGTTTGCGCGTTCCTAATTTGAATTTACTATGGCCTCCGAGTGATATTTCCTTTGTTCGAAACACGATGCAGAGTGCTCCTCACTTGAGTGTCGTTAAACCAAAACACTCTGATCACAGCTCCAAAAGGAACAAGAGAAAGTTTCACACGGAGCCAAAGAGAAGAAGAAATAAAACAGTTAAAAGGCCGTTACTTTGGGCCTTTCCCGCGCTTTCTCGCCACTTGCCAAAGCGCGGAAATGCGCTGATAACATTTTATTAGTTGAAAGAGTGGTAAGCGTTTTTTTGAACCAATCACAGAGCATGTTATCGCAAGACCAATGCTTTTCGGGATTACTTTCGATGCAACTGAAAATTGCGTTTAAATATTTGCCACTCACGCTTTGGATCCCTCGTGAAGAATAACAGGCTCAGAGTCAAGAAAGGGAATACACTTCAACTCCAGCAGAGCATGGTACAACGGATGAGTAGCAAAATCTCCTACCCACTTAGCTACCATGATGGCGACCATGATCGGTAACAAAAACTGAATGTCATTTGTGATCTCCATCTGAGAAAGAAGGAAAAGTAGGGAGTAAACAAGTATCACACAAATTACATATGACTACAAGGGATATGCGATATTTCACGAAACTCAACCCTAGAGATCTCTAATATAAACCGGTATTAACCCAGATTGATGGCTCCCCCGTACGCTAGATATACTTCCTGCGACTAATATCACACACTCACCATAATCACTGTTAAGGACATGGTCAGTCTTGATACACCACCGAAAAATGACGCCGCTCCAATGAGAGCAAAAGCTCCTGGGTCCATCCAAGCCCAGTAACCTAAAATGAAATATCCCCAAAAGTTTAAAAAATACGAACGGTGTAGCCACGAAAAGGGGCTGTGGACGCAAGCAGATGCCCTCCTTTGAGAAACAGGCTTCAATAAAAATTTTGAGAAGATATTTTTCCTTCAGTAAGTGTCAAAATACTGAAGCATTGAAGGAACATTTAATACATTTTCTCACGAGTTTGAGTCGAAGGAAAATCCGAATCGCCAGAGAGGAATAGAACCTCAGACGTTTGTATTTCTCTTTCTGGGATTGTCTACCACGGAACAACAGAGAACTGGTGGGTAAGTTGAACTTTGCACTAGGTTCGTATGAACTATAGTAACCAGTGATAAATGAATACCCACAGTTGTGCGGTTCAAGATGCTAAAAGATGACTTTGGTTTCTTGTACTGACCCACCTGTAGAGTGGAAACCGAATAAATCCACCATAGCTCTTCCAATAATACGGCCGTATGTTCCACCTATGAACCTGACGGACAAGACATTCAATTTCATTTTCTCTCTTTATTCACATTCTTTCTCTATGATTCTTTTCTGTAAATTAACATACAAGAGGGACCCACAGGGAAACTGGAGGAGAAAAAAAATCCCAGGGAAGAGACCCTGTGCGTCTTCTAGCCCAATGTTGTCCTTTAGCGCCAAGTTTTCGTCTCCACTATGCTGACAAAATAGTCTGGAAAACAGTACTGTTCTGGGAACAGTTAGTTTTCTTTAATTTACTAAGTGATTTGAGTGTTGGTCTTGAAAAAAAGTCCACCACCCTCTCAGCCAATCAAATTAAAACCTAAGACCACGACTAAGTATCTGGCATTTTCCCGCTCTTCAGTCAATTGCCTTGTTCTTTTTATTGAGCTTTCGTTGGCTTCTCAAGATATTTTCTGTTGTTTTAATTGGCCAGTATGGTCACTTTGGTTTTAGTATAACCGCACTCAATCCACATACGCTGTAGTCTTAAGTATTAATGATATGTATACTTACAACATTGGCACCACTAAACCACTTGAAATGGCACTGCCAGCCGACCAACACGCGAGCAAAAAATAAATAACCAACACAGAGCAGAGAGACCTGAGGAGGGAAAAAAAAAGACAGTCGTCTCTTCGCTCTTCCAAATATCTCCCTCTTTTTTCAATGATAATTAACATTTTGCAACTAGAAGTTTCAATAAACAGAGCTTTTTGGGTCTTTTTGAACAAAGTGTTATTAAAATCCTTACTTAGAGAGGGGTATTTCTAACAGAATAAGAAATTATTAAGTATCTTGTAACTGTTTTCTGATCATATCATTCTGACAGGGTTTAGAAGGAGTGGTAAAAACGTTTTCCCCCTTGATTTCAACGGTTTATCTTCCTTCTATTTCACAGGAATAAAGTGGTCTTCATTTTGATTCCCACAGTTTTCGTTAAGGGGCAGAAGGATAGGAAATCATTTATATGAAGATACGTACGCATATCCAAGTTCGTAAGCTGTGTCTCTGGAAAACAAATGATGAATGGCTTTTTCTCCCGTCAAAAATAACAGCGTAGCCACTAAATTACAAAAACCAATATAGTAAGTAAAAGAGATGAAGAGAACTATTCACAGATCAACTGTTTATAGCAAACCTAGAAATGGAAGCAAATCAAACCTAATGGTGCAATTTTCAATAGTGTCGAAATTAATCCGTTCTTGCATTGGTTTTATATTTTACTTCGCTCTGTGATCGGTATAGAAAAAGCGCGCCACTCTCTTAACCAATCAGATACAAAACTACAACCAATCACGACTTGCTCGCGCGCGTTTTCCCGCGCTTTAGGCAGTTAGGTTGTTTTACTTTGAGCTCTCATTGGCTCTTAGGTTATATGTAGATTTAGCCAAGCCTAAATGCGGAGCTCGCATTTTTTCACGTCTCAAGGGCACAACGCCTTGCCCCGGCCAGGACTAGAACCCGGGTCGTCCGACTCGGAGCCCGGTGCACTGACCACTGGACTACTGGACAAAGCCGTGGCGTTGGCGCGCCCGCGGCACAGTTAATCACGCATGTTAAAAGTAGCATCTTGTACGGACGCCCGTACGGTCATGAGTCCAATTTTTTTCGGCTTGATGGGTTACTACTACCATTTTGTATCATTGTGGGGCTACGTTCTGCGAGCCCCGCTATTATCCTTTCTTCTAAATGGCTGTTGTGATTAATTTGGTTTTGGTTTTACGACACACTTTCAAAAAGCGCTCTCAAACCAACCGTCGTCACAAAAATAAGTTATTTTGGGAGCGAAATTCGCTTGAAAGCTTGAAGGCACCCAAGGAGCTTGTTAATACAAGATCTTTCTATGCGACAAATTTTTCACACGAATGCAGGTTTCGCACTGTGTTCGAGCGTTGTGCAACTTTTATGGCGACGTAAAAGCTACATCGTAAAGTCATCTGACTGAAGCGCAAAATACAAACCTCAGCTTTATCCAACGATTCTTACCTTCATTATAAGAAGAGTTGGTGAACTGAGTTCCATTAATCGTTACTGACATACCAGCAGGACATGTGTAGTTTCTTACATCTCTTTCTGTGTGTAGAGGGTGCTGGGTGTCTGTCAAACACTTTCGACTGAAGAAAATAAATAAAATGAAAACAATGGCTCTTTTATTTTGGACTGACTTTTTCTACACAAAGCTAACTGAGAGATACTACGAAGAACATAAATTGAGTGTTATACCTATATCCTTTTGATGTAAAGGAACAATGGAACGGCGTACAAGGAAATGCCGCAGGAAGAAAAACTGACGCTGTACCAGTGATTATCTGTCAAACAAAAGATCCCGGTTAGTTTTGTCAAGGAAAGTAGTTTAATGGAGAATGACGACCCTCCTTAACCTGAATTTGGCAGGTCATGTTCCTGTTCAGGAATGACTTTTTACACTTGAAATGAGATCTATTCTCGAACAGTCTGTACAAGGTGGTTCTAAATTTAAAGCCGATTTTACAAATCTGGGAAACATACCCTGTGCGTGATCACCAAACTGTGAAACAAGTTTAAGTAATAATATAATTATTTACCTTAATTAAGTTAATAAGGAAAAAAAAGTTGTCAGACTGCTCATCCAAAAACAACTCTGACATGCGCCGAAATGTAAAGGACGGCTATGACTGTCAGTCAGAACTGGCTGGTCTAATGATTTTGAGAATTCCATTATTTATCAGATCCGTTTATGATGAAAATCAGTTTTTATACTTTGCCCGGCGATGAAGTTTACAGAAACTAGGAATTAAAGATCTTACCAAATTTTGAAGTCATCTGTGATCTATTACTGAACAAACGCACAGCAACATGAACCCTATTTGAACATACCATGATTAACACTGGCTCTGACACTTTGGCAATGTTTTTCCATTGTTTAGAATTAATCTTTGCAATCCATGATCTTCTAAAGCGTGCAATCTAGAGGGAAATAAATTTACAAGAAATCATCTATTAAATGGAAGCTAAGAAATGAGACAACAAGAAATCCATTATCTCCGATTATTATACATTCAACTCACTACATTGTTTTGTGATTGGCCGAAAGCGTACAGTGAATTTTTTAAATCAGCGCCAGAGGCGTCATCTAGCTGCATATTATACAATAATCATGTGAAGGTCACTCAAGGTGACGGGCAATTATGTTATGTAGGACTGCAGTGCATGATTTCAAGGGGTAATCATGTCAAGTTCGCGCGCTTTGAGTGGCATGCTGATTTGTATATTTTTACACGTTTATAAATAAAATAATTATCAGTTCCACTTACTGTCATGACCATTTCTCTTTCCTTCAATGTACAGTAAAACAGTTATTAGATTTGGTTTTTGTGATATCCAGAATAATCAAAGCCTTGGTAAGCGTTATCAGCCTCAGCCTTGGGCTTATAACCCCTACCTCGACCTTGATTGTTCTGGATATCACAAAAACCTCATACAATAATTGTTTATAGGCAAAACTTTAAGATGATGTACCTTTAAATTGAGGAAAGTGAACACAGCTCCTAATAAACCCCCCATTATTCCAAGAATGACAGTTGGTATGAAAGCCAAGATGTTTAATCCAATTCCATGACTAATCTGCCAGAAATGACAGAAACAAACAAACAAGATTGATGAAACGTTCACACCAGAAACCATATAATTTGTTATCCACATCAATTTGTGTAGGAAAAAAAAATCATCTATCGCTGAAGTGTGAGATTCTGTTAACTGAAGAAGTATGGTACATGATGCTGAACTTCATCCTGCTTTCCATATGGCAAAGAAACTAGGGGCACTCCTTCTGTCCAGGGATCATTGTCACTTCACCAGTACCCATTAAATACTCCTGGGTGGAATGGAGCACTGTAACTATTGAGAGTCTTGCAAAAGAACACAGCAGTTGTTAGGTCTTGGGCCCAGAACTCTCCACCACAACTCAAATGTTCTCACAGTCAGACCACTGTATCATCCACATGGCTGAGATTCATGATATTTCTAGACCATAATTCTAATCTCCTTTTCAAAATTGATGCAGGTTTAATAAATCATGTCCAACTAAACAGATATAAGATATCACAGTAGCTTGGGAACAGTTTCAAATATTTCAAAGTTTTAGCACAGCCCTAGAGGAACTAAGAAGGGACACATTAGGGAGGTGGCTTGGCTAAGTGGTTAGGTCTCTGGACTTGTAATCTGGTGGGCCTGGGTTCAAGTCCTCCACCCTGCCATTCACTGGATTTGTTCTTAGTCCCCTCAAGTTCAACTCCTTGGCTGTGCTATGTAAATAGGCAACTGGTCTGCCTCCTGCCATTTAGGATTTTTCAAGCACGTTATGTTTGTTTCAGTCATTGTAAAGTGCTATTGGATAGCAATAGAAATAGCACTATATAAATAAATTATTATTATCATTATTATTATTATAATTGTTATTGGGCCAAGCATTGTCCTTATGACTGGCTTATAGCTGGCTTGAGAGCAACTGGGCAAAAAGAAGCATCCTTACAGAATGACTCTGGTCTATACTTACTTGAAACAAAATGTTCTTTTCTGCTTTAAACAAGCCAAAATCTCCTTGATACTTGAAGCCTTCAAATGCTGAATTAAACAAGTCCTACAAACAGCAAGAATTCATGATTACATTATATCAATCAAGAACTAAAAAACACATTCTGCCATAGAAATAAGTTGGTAATTGTATTAGCACATTGGCAATTAGATTTCCTAGCACTGTAAGAGAGTTACTGAGTAAACAAAACAAAATTTTCAGATTCACATGTTTTATCACCTATGCAGTTTGTGTCTTGGTGACTTAAAAAATCTCACGAGTAAGGAAGGGATCATGACATCAATTCTACAGTACACAGGTACATTAGATTATTACTCACAGTGGTGAATGTAGATACCATGCAAGCAAAGAAAGTCTGCCATGACAATTTCATGTTCCAAAAAGACGACACTTCTTCCATGGAGAACAGCAGGCCACCAACTGGAGCCCCAAAAGCTGAGGCCACACCTGCAGCAGCACCAGCTGAGATGAAGTTACGCCTGTTCAAGATAATATCAACCATCGTATTCTGTTCATGAATAAATGATTGTAAATAAACCATATTTTGATACATGAATAATATCAATACACCTGCAGGAGGAGATTTAAGAAATTGCACAAAGATCAAGCCTGTAAAAAGCAGACTCCCAAGAAAAAAAAAAACAACCGCAGAAGTGGAGGGAACCTGTGCAACTGACTGGTTTCTGGAGGAGTGAGAAGATTTCTAGATCCTTGATGCTATTACAGCTGCAATGGATGATGTTCTCTAATTAACTAAATTTGGGAAATCAACTGCAATAAGGGGAAAGTGAAGGAGGGGAACCCCCCACACAATTAACTGGTATCCCTGGGGGAGTGAGAAGATTTTTAGATGCTTGATGTGATTAATATAAGGATAGTTAGGCCTTCTGGTTGACTAACTTTGACTGAACTGATAAATAAAATCATTTAATATATGCCTGAAATTCCCATGGTTTCTTGGGATAAAATATATTGATAGAGAAGGATGAAATCACTGCTTACCTGTCTTCTGTGTTTCGAAACCTCTCAAAGAATGGCAGTTTAAACTTAAGAGTCTGTGATTTAAACTGACTCAGACCAGCTCCAACCAAACTCCTGCGATAAAATTGGAACCTTCTCTTAATTTCTGATCACTGGCACTTTGTCACTGCCACTTTGTTCACCCTTTAACTCCGAGAAGTGATTAACAAGTAACTTCTCCCTATAACATCCATACATTATCCAGCAAGCAGGTAATAAGAATATTCAAATTTATCAGGTTAAGTTGTTATCTTGATCTAACACCAAATTCTCATGGCCCAATTCCCAAGAAAATGAGGACCAGCTAGAGGGGAGGATCAACAATCAGATCTTGGGAGTTAACCCTTAGAGTGATCTAATTTATCTTCACAGTAATACTGCTGAATCATGCACCACGGCATTAAGAATAAAGGATGAAAGAAAGGATAATCAGGCTTAAATCGTTAAGGGCCCAAAACAGAAAACAGTTGGTGGGTCTGGAGCCACCTTAATTACAAACTTGATACAGCTGCTGTTTTGGCTGCAATGGTGAGAGGTATTTAGCAGCCGAGTAGCCTGCTGTATTTTCTTTATCATCTACTAACTGTTTATGGTCTAAACTTACAGTGAGATAAACATTTGCACACACCAAATGTTGGAAATGCTTCATTAGTATTAACATTGAACAAAGAGTGCTTTTCCATTTTTTCCTATAATTTTTTCCTTTTTTGTTTTGGGCAACCACTTTATGACCTAGGAACCCTATATTATTAACTAATAGATAATTTAATATTGCCAAGTGGATGTAAAAAATATGAATCTTTTAAGCTGATTGCTGTAAGAAAGAAAATATAATACAATTTACAAAACTTACAACATTACTTTCAAGTGTCCCAAGACTTTTTTCAATAATTTCAGTTACTACTTATTCTGATACATATTGAGACATAGACAAACATCTAATGAAAACCATACCCAAGGTGGATCATTGGACCTTCTGGACCAATAGGAAGTCCTGCACCAACTGCACAAACACAGGAGAAAAACTTGACAACCATGGTCTTGAGGTTAAAGATGTGTCGCACTACTGTGCCATTTAGGAAACCAATCAGTTCCGGAATGCCAGAACCTCCAGCAGAAGGACGATAATACTGTTAGAACCAAAAATCAAACAAGTTTTATTGTTTAGAAGAAGACAAATCTTTGCTGACTTTATTTTCTCATTTTATTTCATTAGGAATCCCCATATCACTCCCATAAAGAACCAAAAAGGAATTTCTTCTCCAAAAATGAAAACAGACTTAAGCAGAAAGGTGATGAAATTTTCAAAGCTAAAATTATGGAAAAAGTACAGCAGACAGTACTGTAGAGAATTGATATCTATATCTTGGGAATAAAAGAGTCAAAGAGAAAAATTAATTTTTAAGTTGTATACCCACCACAACTGGAACAGAACTTGCTACGACAAAAAGTACACTATAACCAATGACCCATATCCAAGCTAAGCCAAACTCATGATCCTATAGAGAAAGAACTGATTTGTTTACAAGTAATTTTCACAGAAAGGAAAGGAATCACTAATTAATGAGTAATATTTCTAGGGTTTTTCAATGTTTTTGGTATTATGTTAAATCAAATAATGTGGTTTGTTTTTTAAATACGTTGCCTTTAGTTAACAATTTTGAGTTTTCTTTCGAGTGAACATTAAATGAAAGGAAACAGGAAACATAACCACAGTAACTTTTACTCACATACCTTTATAAACTCAGAGGCTTTGTCCCATTTCACTCTATTGAAAATGGAAGAAAAATACCAAATACATACATACTGTGCAAACTATATGTATTTTACACTATTCAACAATTCTTATATCAGTAATGAGATTCTTACTATTACAGGTCATAGCTCTGAAGCTTTCATTGCAGGTCACTTGCAAACCTTTACCTTGTGACTTTACCAGTGATAGACCAACATGCTTAATATCAAAATAATTATCTCTACCATAATTAAAAACAGCAAAAGGAAAGGCAGTTATTGTATGGTAAACCTTTTCCATGTTCTCCCAGAAGCCATTGCCAGTTATTACATTGTTCAATAGATAAAGAGTGCAAAGACTTGCTTTAACAAAAATCAAAAAACAAAAAAACAGACAGCCAATGTGTACATTTAAGCTTTCAAATTAATAAATTATTATAATAATAATAATTTAGCAAATTTTAAGAAGACCTCTTCTGAAAATCCCATGCCTATCCTTGGATTAAATAAGTCTTAAAAGGCTTTCTGGCCAACATTTCTAAATAATGTAAAATGTTACCAACAAATAAGGATGGAAAGCAGCTTAAGTTATAATTTGCATGTCAATAAAATAATAATTAGTGTTGAATCCTATCATTTATGAAAGAGCTGTATAATGAACCCCTTAACTGCCAACCCCACTGAAAAGTCCTATGCAAACAGAAATTGACTGATTATTTCTCACAATTTTAACTTGATTTGAGTTTTAGATGCCAGTTTATTTTACATCTTCAGTGCCAGAGATTTGACTGTAACTCTCTAACTTTGGACAAACATAGTATCTCATGTAAGCACAAACTGCAAATTGCATGATGTACTTGGTACTTCATGCAGGCAGTGAAGGGCATGTTAAGTTTGATTCATCATCAGCGACACACACAGCTACAACAGTTTACCTGCATTTGCAATCTATGCACTCAAAAGCTGTGCACACAATCTAAGAATTGTATATGCCAAGATATACATCAAACATCAAATTGAACATTTGTGTTCATCAAGTTATATTGCACTCAACAAGGATAAATAAGATTTTTTTTTTTGATAAAAAACATGACTGTATAATATTTGTAATACAACATCAGCAAGACATACTCTGATATGACATCAATAAGTTGATGCATAAGAAATCCAATAAATCCAACTGAGAATCCAATCATTCCCATCATCACCCACCGGTCCCAATCAAGACGTGATGGCTGCTGCTTTAGCCAGTTCTAGAATTAACAAATAAATCATTCAAATTAACAAACAACCTCATTCCCAGGCTCTCTCTTCCTCCCTTCCTTTATCTTGCTTCAAAGGAAGGGATTAAGAATAGAGACCCAGGAACAAGGTTCATAAATAAAATAAAACATGACCATCCCTTCAAATCTTTTTTTTTTATTTCCCATCTCCTGTTCCCCTCATTAGAGTAGGTCACTTGGTCTTCCTTGTGTTTTTCCTTGTGAGTGGTTTACTATCAAATGATTTCTAATTTCATAAATCAAATGCGATTTTTGTTAAAATAAAATTTAAGTCTTGGCCACATTTATTTTACAAAATAGAGAAAGTAAAGGTGTTCATAAATTTAAATTTTGCTTGAAAGACAGTGTATGTGGAATTTTTTTCCTTATTTTCCAAAATTATGAGTTAATTGAGCTGTTGGATGTGAAACATTCTAAAGAGATGGCCATATAAAAATTAACAGGTCATGGGTGTGTAAATATTTTCACACATCCCATCATGACACATGAACTTACATTTGGCATTTGTGACAAAAAATTAAAAAAGGAATGATATTTGGGTCTAGTCTTAAGGTACAACCTCAGTGGAGTGGGGGTGAGGGAGGGAGACACTTACAAAGAGTTTGTGAGGGAAGTGCACAAGCCAATGAGGCCTTTTAAACCATGGACCCATTCAAAACAATGTTCATTAAGTGAGATACATAAGCAAACTGAGTTATGGAGTGTATGACCCTAAAAGCAGGTAAACGTTAGGTTCAAGTGTTATTACACACGTCAAGCTTAACCCCTTCAACCTCCAGAAGTGATTAACATGCAACTTCTTCCTACAATATCTATATGTTATCCAGCAAACAGGTAATGAGAATAATCAAAATTTGTCAGGTAGAAGTTTTCTTCTTGATCTAACACCAAATTCTTGTACCTTCCTTAAAAAGAAATGTGTAGAAGCTTAAGGGAGAATTAACAATCAGATCTTGAGTTGAGCCATAACATGCACCTACAAGGAAAAGATTTTGAATTCGACACCCTAGATTTAAGTAAGTCAAGCACCTCATTTCCGTAACTTATGTCCACCTAAAACGGTAAATCACTCTCTTAGCAAATTTCTTGTTGGAGTGCTAACTTTGAGATCGAGAAACGTGCAAGAGCTTTGCCTTGACCTTCCCGGAAGCAACCTACGATGTACACACCCTCACCCTACCCTTGACCGCGTTTAATTGTGGCGTTCGCTATTTACTTCTTTCAGAGTCGCTCACTGACCTTGTAGACAGCACTGTGAGGAGGTAGATAGTCTACACTTTCAAATGTAGCAAGCTTCTCCTTTTCCTCTTCTGTGTAATGGTGATTTACATAGCGACTTTCGAATTCGCGTCCCTTTTGGAAGAAACTGGTCTGATTTGCTGTTGGTAGAGCGTCTTCATCCGCGTGAGAAGATGACACACCGTACTTGCTTGGTTTTCTTCTTATTGACATTTCTTACAAAAGGGAAACAGGCCTCTCAGGATAGCACAATAACCAAGTATTTGCATGCAAATCCAGCTAAATCTGTCACTAGGTTCTGAGCGCCATTGATGCCGCTTACCAACTTGTCATCCGAGATGTTTTTGTCCGAGAACTGGTCGTTACAGTCCGAAAGCATCCGATTATTCACGAAGGTCGATCGTCTAGCGAAATCGTCCGAGTGGTCGCTGTCGTGTTATTAAAACCATCGCGAGCAAACAGTGAGCAACCGTTAACATCTACGTTGAGACTAATAAGTCATAAGGAAAAAAAAGAACGGAAAATAGGAAACAATTACCCTTGAGGTAGAGCGGCCATACAATATGTCAGTCTTAAAAATCGCCAACGAGAGATGGCTGTTTGTGGTAAATACACAAGTTAACTCAACTTGATGCCTGAAGCGTCATACTTTTATTCTTAAACTGGTGTTACCAAGGTTTGCAGAGGTGTCCCGAGGAATTCACCAAAAACTGTTCACCAGTACTCTCTCGGCTCTAGAATCGTAGGTTCCTTCGTTGGTCCTCGATGTTAAAATTCTTTCTCAGTATCGCCAGTATCGCACAAACAGACCCACTTCTTGCTAGGCCGAGTAAGAGATGAACTGACTTGTGAGTACAAAGGAAAATTCATTCGTTAAGCAATTCGTTTACGGGTTTAAATCAAGCCTACATATAAGTCTGGTTAAGAACATCTAGAAGACTGCCTAAAAAACCGAAGAGGAAAATGTCTTTGAAGGTTTGAGTGAAATCAAGTGTGTCCAATATAAAATTCGCTTTGATTCCGAAGCAACACCGATCTTCCGCAGGTCCCCAGCTGCCCTTGTAAGCTCTCTTAGCCCTTTAACTCCCAAGATCCAACCGTTAAATCTCCTTTCTAACTGCCATACATATCCTTGTTTCTTATGCAAGAGAATTGATTCCAAATCACGATAACACAATCTAACTGATAATAACATATTAGGATCGCAGGGAGGAGTTAACTGTTCACATCTTCTAAGTGCTTAAGGATATAAGAGGAATTTTCAACTTCGTAACAGACCTCGCTGCGCCTCGCCACCGTGGAGTCTCTGTGGCTCAGTGGTAGAGCATCGGAGCGCGGAATCCGAAGGTCTGAGGTTCGATTCCTCGTGATGACTCAGAATTTTTTCTTTGTCCCACACTCGTGACAAGACGAAAAAAACATCATTCTTGATATAAGAGGACTTTCAAGAAGCAGGCCCTCATCATTAGCAATGCAGGATACGCATTTCTTCGCCCGCGGGAAGATTTTAGACACTCGGGGCAGTGCCGAGATTTGTCTGGCACTCATGCTATCAGTACTACGTCTCCTTACAGACCTCGCACCGGCTCTCGTCGCTCCAGGCCTCCAACATACCCGTGGGCAAAGAATCGCACGTGCCAAAGCGCTTATATTGAGGGCCTTGAGCTGAGTTCTATGTAAACTTGAAGTTGATGTGCGAAACCTGTCAATGAGCCTGGAAAACAGAAGAAAAACTTCCACCAAACTATTTATAGTGACTGCCTTCTTCCTCAAGCAAAACATGTTCAAGTTTTTTTCACTGCTCTCTTATATCAAAAGTTGAATAAGACCTAAAAGAATATGGCTAATCAGAGTTAGTGGAGTCCCTGTGCTAACTCTGATGGAAGTTATAGAATTTTTTGTTGTTTATGTCCAGAGGAGTATTATATAAAAAATAGCTTTGTTCAATGATAAGTTTTAAGAAAAGAATAAACTGGTCATCTCATTTACAGCTCTTTTAACGCATCCTGTCTAATCAGATGTAATCATGTGAGTTTGGTGGTTTAGTTGAAAAAAAAATTGATGAACTCTGAGTTTCGACCGGCTCAGCACAAAAGGGCCACAGGCCAAAAGAAACGGTAAGCCTGGGGACAAGAATGACTGCGAAAGTGACAGAAAGAAGCATAAGATCACGTTCTATTGGCATTTTTCGTGAGTGACAGCTGACATGTGTTAGGAAAAAACTGAACAGAGTAGCGGAGGTGGTTAACTGTATTTTTTATGGCGAGGCATTGAAGTCTACAGGTTTTGGTAAGTACTGGTTGTATTCAAAAAATGATACAGTTTAACTTTTTTGCCACTGTCAGTGCCTTTACGTAGCTTACATACATCATTTTTGTTTGGAGCGTCAGTGTTCTATCATGCTATATTCAATGTTATGATCTATGTCTTCGATAAAAACTGAGAGTTAATGTCTATCAAATAGAAAGACAATCACAAATAGCGAGGTCGAATTAAAAATTATAAATACCATTTGGAATATTGAAATTTTTTGCGATCGACTGAATTTCATATCACCAGCGCTAGTAAATTGATTTCTGTAGCAATATATTTGGATCCGACCTCTTCAAAGTTTTTGTCACACGTCGTACTGTCGAGCTAATCTTGCACAGGGAGGAATAGAGTATTAAGGAAGCAAAAATGAAATTTATATATTTTTTTGTTCTCCAGAAGATAGGGGAAGATGTTTCCTCTTTAGTTCATGTATTTCAGTTTTTTATATCTAACTTATATAACTAATGATGGATTTGAGCATGCAAAAATAAAACAATTTATTCTGTTTTACAGGGAACGTCAGCTTTTGGTGTTCATTTATTTTGACCGCTTGGATTTTCATTACAAAATTGATAAAAGTACAACTGATCCTTCTGCTTTCAAAAGGTGAGCCATCTCCGCGATTTTCCACGCTTTTCGTTTTCTATTGAGTGTGATTTTCATGATCAAGATACTAAGTAAGTTCCTAAATCAAGAAAACGGATGAACTTCATCCTGCGAGTTTCTCTACGATTATCACTTCACTAAGAGATACCTTTTTAAGTGTTAATCAAGATAAGACTTCGATAAAGTAACGAGTGGGTGACATTAGAGTTAGGATCTACATAGATCGACACTCTAAAATGTACAACAATTGATAACATTCTGGGGAGGGGAGGAAGGGGAAGTGAACCTGGACCAACTTATGTAGCAGGATCCTTGAACCTAATCTCCTAAAAGTCGCATCAGTCACCCCTGCTACTCTCACAATTTTATTTCTGCTTCGCTTTGACTATGAAACCAGCAATTTGAGAGCACTCAATGGGTATTCAAAAAAGAGATACAGTTCAACTTATTTCCCACTGTTAGTGCCTTTACATAGCTTACACAAATCATTTTTGTTTAGAGTGTCAGTGTTCTATCATGCTATATTCAATGTACTGATCTATGAGAGGTAAAACTGACAGGTAATGTCTATCAAATAGAAAGACAATCACAAATAGCGAGGTCGAATTAAAAATTTGAAATACCATTTTGGATATTGAAATTTTCTGCGAACGACTGAATCGCATATCACCAGCGCTGGTAAAATTGATTTCTGTAGAGATATATTCTGTTCCGACCTCGTCAAAGTTTTTGTCACACGTAGTACTGTCGAGCTAATCTTGAGAAGGACGGAATAGAGTATTAAGGACGGATAAATGAAATTCGTATATTTTTTCGTTCTCCAGAATGAAGATAGTGGATGATGTTCCCTCTTTTTTTCATGTATTTCGGTTTTTTATAACTAACTTATATAACTAATGATGGATTTGAGCATGCAAAAGTGAAACAATTTATTCTGTTTTACAGGGAACGTCAGCCTTTAGTGTTCATTTGTTTTGACCGCTTGAATTTTCATTACAAGATTGATCAAAGTACAAGTGAACCATCAGCCCCAGAAAGGTAAGCCATATCCGCGTTGTTCCACTGTTCAAGACTTTTTATTTTCTAGTGGGTGTGATTTGCATGATCAAGATACTGAATAATTTACTAGATAAGGAAAACGGATGAAGTTAAGCGTGCGCGCGAGTTTCTCTAAGATGATCACTTTACTAAGAGTTACCCTTTTAAGTGTTAATCTGGATAAGACTTAGATAAAGTAACGAGTGGGTGACATTAGAGTTAGGATCTACATAGATCGACACTCTCTAAAAAATATACAACAATTGATAACATTTTGGGGAGGGGAGAGAGGGGGCATGAACCTGGACCATACTTAGGAAGCGGGATCCTTGAAGCTAATCTCCTGAAAAGTCTCATCAGTCATCCCTGTTACTCTCGCATTTTTATTTCCGCTTCGCTTTGGCTAGGAAACTAGCAATTTGAGAACACTACAATGCGCCATGAAAGCGATGCTGATGATAATTTGATGTCTAGAACACTTAAAAACTTGGGCCAACTTCGAGCAGGATTTTCATGTCAGAAAAATGGAAGTCGAATCATGAATAAATTCATCTACTTTTTTCCTAATTCATAAGTGGAAAATACAGAAAGACGCTGAGCAATTTACCCCGAATATTAATTGTTCCCCTTAAATTACTTGTGTTTTGGTTTTGAATTTTATAAACAATGATGCATTTGAGCATGCAAAAGGAAAAAATTGTACTTGTTCAGTACAAGGATCGTCAGCCCTTACGTGTTCATTGCTTTTAAACGGTTGGATTTTCATCACGAGATCGACCACAGTTCAGTTAAATAGGGTATTTTTCAGTGTTTGGGTGTGAGGATCGACTCTTCACTGGTGAACTTTTCATTTTCTAATGAGTGTGATTTGCATGATTAATAACAAAGACATTATATAATTCACTATATAAGCTAAACAGATGAAGTTATTAGTGTGAGTTTCTGCCAACGATTATTTTAGTAAATGTTACCCTCGAAAGTTTTCATCTTGGTGGAAGGAAAAGAAAATTTCAGCAGGTTACTCTGAACTTCAAGTGCTTCGGTTTAGGTATTTGTATTTCGGTTATGTTAGTTGAACTTAGATAAACATTGATGGATATGAGCATGCAAATGAAACTTTTTACTTTGTTTTACAGGAAACGTCAGCTCCTAGTGTTCATTGCGTTTTAACGGTTGGATGTTCATCACAAGATCGATCACAGCACTATTGAAGTTTCTGTCTTTAAACGGTAGGGTATATATAAGTTATGACTGACTGAATGTTTTACAATCATAAAATGTGGGGCAGGAAATGCAACTGATTGACCCCTTGGTCCCCCCCCCTCCCTTCCCCCTCCCCCTCCCCCAGTATCTACCGCTTGTAGTTCCAGTTTGTGGTAATTTGAAGGAAAATGAAAACTGTGAACAAGAGTATGTGACAAAGGTTTTTCATTTTTCCAGGGATAAATTTCATTCAGGTACCCTCGCTTGAATCAAAATGAACACGGAACATGTCTAACTTCAAACAATAAGTTCAATGATTTATGTGACATCGTAATGAGCATCTCAATGAAGTGCGTGACAGTGTTATGAATACCTCAGTGGAACAAACGGTAATAAATTTTCTTGGTGTGTTTCTTTGTACAACACACACACAAAAAACACAAAATTGGATTTATTACACAAGTACACGAGGATTCCTGACGAAAAGAAATGAAAAGAGTCGAAGAAGAATCCAATTACATCTGTAACTACACATCGAGTGATTTAACAAAATTTGACAAATACCGAAGTGGAAACTAAACAGGTTAGGATAAGGAACCCTATGTACCAAATGTTATAGGCTATATATGGAGTAACAAAAAAACTTGGTTTCAACCATTTAAATTCAGTTACCCCTACTTCATTCCAGCAAAACGTTCTAACACGAATGGCGCAATCATTAAATAAAAATCAGATTTTTGTGAGATGAAGCAAGAAGTGCAATCACACTCATAACGGTTCCAGTCTCGTAAACGCTTCATTTCAATACAGGGTAGGACCTCCGTCGGGATGAGAAAACCACGATTCCTGAAAAAGTTCGCACCCATGAACCCTTGTACAGAAACTTTCGAGTGTCATATGCCTGATCTACATTTTTTTTTCCAAACTTACAGTGATCAAAGCCATATGAAAGACACAGAAGAGGAATTTACCACGTTAGCTATCAAAATAGGTGTAACTGTCGCCATTTTCCTTCTCAACACTGGTTTGGCCTTGAAAGCCATTGAGCTGTGCCAAGAAAGCTTGATTTCACTAAACAATGGGGATTTAAGCGCGGACAGTCTAGTTGCCAAATCATTTGACGAACGCATCCGCACCACAGTGAAAAGGGCGTGGTTCATTCTATGCAGTTCACCAGGTATTGAAGAATACCTCGAGGAACTTTTACTTCACCCTGAAGAGGGAAAGAAATTTTATAAATTAGCGATCAATGTCATGAAAATGACCGGAAACAGACAAAAAAAAGCAGAGTTTTATAGAAGACTAGGAGAGCTTCTGTGTTCCTTAGGAGAATATGACAAAGGGAAAGAATATTTGAAGATGGCACTTGCTATCCAAATAAAAATTGGCGACAGAAATGGAGAAGCAACAAGCTACGCGAGAATTGGAGAACTGTTCATGTCGCTTGGCAAATATGACACGGCCCGAGAAAACCTGGAGAAAGCTCTTGCTATCCAAATAGAAATTGGCGACAGAAATGGAGAGGCAACAAGCTACCAAAGCCTCGAAACAGTGTTCCAACGGCTTGGCAAATACGACAAGGCCCGAGAATACCTGGAGAAAGCTCTCGCTATCCAAATAGAAACTGGCGACAGACATGGAGAGGCAACAGTCTATGGGAGCCTCGGAATAGTGTTCCAGTCGCTTGGCAAATACGACAAGGCCCGAGAATACCTGGAGAAAGCTCTCGCTATCCAATTAGAAACTGGCGACAGAAAAGGAGAGGCAGCAAGCTACACGAGCCTCGGACCATCGTTCATATTGCTTGGCAAATACGACAAGGCTCAAGAATACCTAGAGATAGCTCTCGCTATCAAAATAGAAACTGGCGACAGAAAAGGAGAGGCAGCAAGCTACACGAACCTCGGACCATTGTTCATATCGCTTGGCAAATACGTCAAGGCCCGAGAATACCTGGAGAAAGCTCTCGCTATCAAAGTAGAAATTGGCGACAGAAATGGAGAGGCAACAAGCTGCGCGAACCTCGGAGCACTGTTCATATCGCTTGGCAAATACGACAAGGCTCAAGAATACCTGGAGAAAGCTCTCGCTATCAAAGTAGAAATTGGCGACAGACATGGAGAGGCAACAATCTCTGGGAGCCTCGGAACAGTGTTCCAGTCGCTTGGCAAATATGACAAAGCCCAAGAATACCTGGAGATAGCTCTCGCTATCCAAATAGAAATTGGCGACAGAGATGGAGAGGCAACAAGCTACGGAAACCTCGGAACAGTGTTCATATCGCTTGGCAAATACGACAAGGCCCGAGAATACCTGGAGAAAGCTCTCGCTATCAAAACAGAAATTGGCGGCAGCGATGGAGAGGCAACAAGCTACCATAGCCTCGGAACAGTGTTCATATCGCTTGGCAAATACGACAAGGCCCGAGAATACCTGGAGAAAGCTCTCGCTATCCAAATAGAAATTGGCAACAGACATGGAGAGGCAGCAAGCTACGGAAACCTCGGAACTGTGTTCATATCGCTTGGCAAATACGACAAGGCCCGAGAATACCTGGAGAAAGCTCTCGCTATCCAAATAGAAATTGGCGACAGAGATGGAGAGGCAAAAAGCTACCATAGCCTCGGAACAGTGTTCATATCGCTTGGCAAATACGACAAGGCCCGAGAATACCTGGAGAAAGCTCTCGCTATCCAAATAGAAATTGGCGGCAGAGATGGAGAGACAAGAAGCTACCATAGCCTCGGAACAGTGTTCATATCGCTTGGCAAATACGACAAGGCCCGAGAATACCTGGAGAAAGCTCTCGCTATCCAAATAGAAATTGGCAACAGACATGGAGAGGCAGCAAGCTACGGAAACCTCGGAACAGTGTTCATATCGCTTGGCAAATACGACAAGGCCCGAGAATACCTGGAGAAAGCTCTTGCTATCAAAATAGAAATTGGCGACAGAGATGGAGAGGCAAAAAGCTACCATAGCCTCGGAACAGTGTTCATATCGCTTGGCAAATACGACAAGGCCCGAGAATACCTGGAGAAAGCTCTCGCTATCCAAATAGAAATTGGCGGCAGAGATGGAGAGGCAACAAGCTACCATAGCCTCGGAACAATGTTCATATCGCTTGGCAAATACGACAAGGCCCGAGAATACCTGGAGAAAGCTCTCGCTATCCAAATAGAAATTGGCAACAGACATGGAGAGGCAGCAAGCTACGGAAACCTCGGAACAGTGTTCATATCGCTTGGCAAATACGACAAGGCCCGAGAATACCTGGAGAAAGCTCTCGCTATCCAAATAGAAATTGGCGGCAGAGATAGAGAGGCAACAAGCTACCATAGCCTCGGAACAGTGTTTATATCGCTTCGCAAATACGACAAGGCCCGAGAATACCTGGAGAAAGCTCTCGCTATCCAAATAGAAATTGGCGACAGACATGGAGAGGCAACAAGCTACGGAAACCTCGGAACAGTGTTCATATCGCTTGGCAAATACGACAAGGCCCGAGAACACCTGGAGAAAGCTCTCGCTATCCAAATAGAAATTGGCAACAGACATGGAGAGGCAACAAGCTACGGAAACTTCGGAACAGTGTTCATATCACTTGGCAAATATGACAAGGCCCAAGAATACTTGGAGAAAGCTCTACGTATTTACCCGAGAATTGGCGACAGAAAAGGAGAGGCAAACACTTTAGTAAACCTTGTACATTCGTTTCTGTCACTCGGTAAATATTTCAAGGCTGACATTTTTTTGGAGAGAGCGAACGCAATTTGGAGGGAAATCGGTGACAGAAAAGGACAAGCAGAATATTTCATATGCCTTGGGATAATTTCTCATAAGCGTGATGAGTACGACAATGCTCTAGGATATTTCAAGAAAGCCCTTCAAATTCACATGGATATTGGTACGGAAGAAGGTGTTGTTGTCAGTTGCGCAAATTTAGGATTGTGTTTTCAATCGCTCGGTAAATATGACATAGCCGAGGAATACTTCAAGAAGGCTCTCTTACTAAGCAGGGATATTGGACACTTCTTGTATGAGTTTCGATGCCTTCTTGGTCTAACGGAGTTGAAGGTATCACAATTTGATCTTGAAGAAGCCTTTTCGTCTCTTTTCCAAACCATTGAAATGTTTGACACTTTGCGAGGATCTCTTAAAGACAACGATGAGTTTAAAACATCACTTTTGGAGACGCACGGCACCTTTCCCTACGAGTTACTCAGTCGTTTGCTTTCTTCCACGGCAAAGCCACAAGACGCTCTCTATGTCGAGGAGCTGAGACGGGCGAGGGGCTTAGCCGACTTGATGGCAGCTAGGTACTCTGTTGTAGAGCAGATCTCAGGCGATCCAAAATCATGGTATGGGATTCAAAACATTGTCGCAAAGGAAACTGACTGTGCATGCCTCTACATTTCTGTTGGAAAAAATGATATGCGCTACTGGATTCTCAAAGCAACAGGGGCTATTCTTTTTTCAGATGAGGAAGTGAGCCTGGACAAAAACGTGGTGACCGGATTAGTCCATGACTTGGATGAGTTTTTTACGGAAAGTTTCCGCGGCCTTGGCATTTTACCCCAACAGAATTGCGAAGATCGATCTCTAGATGACACCGAATCAATGTCACTTTACCATGAAAATCACGTGCTCCTGCGTGATTGTGACGACAAAGGTATCAAAACAAATCTTCACTTGTGCCACAAGATAATCATCGCTCCTGTGGCCGCTTTACTGAAGGAGCCCGAAATTATCATTGTTCCTGATTCCTGTATGTACCAGGTACCATTTGCGGCTTTAACTGACGATGGAGGAAACTTCGTATCAGACACATTAAGGTTACGCATCGTTCCCTCTTTGACGACTTTAAAGCTTATTCAGGACAGTCCTCCATACTATCACAGTCAAACAGGTGCACTGATAGTGGGTGACCCTCAGGTTGGGGAGGTGATTTACAAGGGAAGACGTATGAATATAACACGATTGCCATGTGCAAGAAAGGAAGCAGAGATGATTGGAAGACTTCTTGGTGTGACACCTTTGATTGGAGATCGCGCGACAAAGCAGGCTGTACTTCAAGCAATACATTCAGTGAGTCTGATCCATTTAGCTACCCATGGTGATGCTGAAAGAGGAGAGATTGTCCTCTCCCCAGAGTGTCCCGCTGACTATGTTTCACGAGAAGAAGCCTTCCTCTTGACGATGACAGACATTTCACGAATTAAGCTGTGAGCTAAACTGGTGGTTCTTAGCTGTTGTCACAGTGCACGTGGACAGATTAAGGCCGAGGGAGTTATTGGAATCGCTCGAGCGTTCTTAGGATCCGGTGCTCGCTCAGTGTTAGCGGCACGGTGGGCCTTAGATGACACAGCCACAGAGAAGTTCATGACTTGTTTCTACGAGCATTTGTACCGCGGTGAAAGCGCCAGTGAATCTCTTCACGAGGCCAGGAAATGGATGAGAAACCATGGCCTTGTAGAAGTCTCTAAGTGGGCGTCTTTTATGTTGATTGGTGACAACGTGACATTTGATTTTGCAAATTGGCCTGTGTCTACTGAAACCAAATAACCATGAGTCAAGTAAACCCGCTGTAACGGAATGTGCTGGACTGAGCAAAGCTAGAAACTGTTACTTGCCACCGTATAGAAAGTGGAAACCATCTGCGAGAAACGTCTGCGAGCTAAATTTCAAGCACTCGGCTATTGTCAAAGTAAAACATTTGTTTAAAGAACTTTCCAGAGACAGAACAATTCATAAAGTAGAGATGATGAACAGTTAGCAGTTAGCAGTTAACAAACGCAAAGAGCATTCCTTTCTCGAAAGGGAATCGTTAATCAATCAAGCCAAGCACATTGTAACCAATTTTTTTTCGAAAGAGATTAATATCTTAAGCAAAGCAAATTTTATGTAATATACTTCCGAAAGTGATACGTCGGAAATATGGAGTAATTGTTTTTATAAGAGGCTCTCTATCATATCAAATGCGCAGAGTTTCTTTCTTCAAAGTTAGGCAGTATACTCGAATTTTATTTTAACTATTCTTTCAGGACGTCATATGTAATCTGAGTGATGGTGATAAAACGTTTTCTCTAGTAGGGTAAGATTTTCAAAATCTTTTTTTTTTTTTTTCCGGTTTCATTTGTTTAGTATTTCGCGAGGAACTATAAGTCGTTAGATCTCAAGTACTTTTATCTAGTGATCTTCATGCCCATTATATATATCGACTTTGGGGTTATGCTAATTTTTTTTACTTCATTAAATTAATTCCTCGAGAAATTAGCATTTTCTTATTTTTACTGACGATAAAGATTTTAATAGCTGTTCACATGAGCAGTCTACAATTGTCTAATTTAGGATTCCAGCTTGATTTTTGATGGTAGCACTCAAGTTAAAATACCTCTTCGAATATTTAAAGAGTGGGCCTCTTATCTCTTAATTTTGTAGGAAGAAAAGTCATAGATCAGGAATTAACAAGTTTAATCCGAGCACAGTTACCAGTAACATTTTCGTACAAAAATTTCTACCGGACTTCGTTAGATTTTAGGTATTGTACCTAGAAAAAACTTGTTGCCTAAACCATTTATGTTACTACAATCGTGGAGATGTTCAAATCAACAGTGTTGTGAATAAAAAGCAGTTATTCTTGATCATTACGACATACTGAATGAAGGGCAGATGTTTTTTTCTTCAACCAAATAAATACTTCGATTCTCATAGCCGGCAATCCATCTCTGATTGTTAGATTTTGATATGTTGGACTTGCTTTGACGGAACTAATAAAATACACCTTCAAATGATGGCTATCTTTGCGAGCGAAAAAAGATTTGGCGAATCCTGTGGTGTGATCGGCCACCAGAGCATGCTAGTCGCCGAATCGCCAACCAACCAAGATGAATCTTCATGAGGAATTGATCTGAACTGCTGCTCACTTGTTCTATTTCATGGCAGGTGAAGGCACGAAGTTGCTAAGTTAAGCTGAAAGAAATTAAACATGATACGAAGTTCTCTCAAGGGAGAATTGAAAGCAGAGTGATGTGAAGTTTTACAATTTATATGAGGGTCCCTAATAGGGTCACTTAAATCCCGTGATCCCAGCTAAAAGTTTCTCTCAATCCCGTAATCCCGACGGTTTATACCGTCCAGTCCCGATCCCAATCATACAATATTGTCTTAGTTTATTTCCTAACCCTGGGAGGGCCATTTCGGTGGGTGATGATTTTCTCCACCAGTATTGATCTATTGATGTCTATGATCATCGTAAGGCGTAAGTTTATCTCTTTTCACCAAAATGACGATTTCGTTCATTTTAAAAGTTTTCAAAGAAATTCTTCGAATAACGTACGCTATAGTCACGGCAACGACTTCCTTCCGTTAAAATTCGATCACGGACAAACGTATTAGCACAGACAGGTAAGTATCAAAGAAACGAATAGCGATGTCAGCAAGTGCATAAAACACAAAAAGTGACGGCAATCCCATAGAAGGACTGACTGAACACAATTCTGCCGTCGAAGCAAATACTTCTCCTGAATTGGGAACATCTTCTGAGGTGAAAATCAGCCTCTCGTTCCAAAGATGGAATGTCACCATCATCACTCGGGGAATCGTACTCAAATATTCTATCTTCCTCTTTGTCTTGTTTCCCGTTGTTTTATTGCTGCTCCTCGAAGTCAGAGCGTTCGAGGCTGACCGGTTCGTCGGGCTGAATTACTCTCTGATAGTGGTACGACGGAGGAGTTCCAGCTCTTGCCATCTTTGTTTATGCCCAGTCCCTCATCTTCTGTATGCTATGTGGTGCCATCGGTACTGGTGGCAACGGTTGACTATAGCTGGTATGGCCAACAGGATCCGATGGCACGTTCGGGTACAGGATACCAAGAATTTGGATTTGCAAAATAGTACACCGCCCAACAGGTTTGGCTGCATTTCCAAAGTTTCTTGGGTAATCTAACGCCGTGAAAAGTTATCTTTGTGATGCACAACAGAGTGAATATTCTCCTTGTCTAGTGTCATTCGCCTTAGCATGTTAAGAGCGTCATATCGGTATAATTCTGAGACTTGCTAGGGGTTTTTCAACGTCGTTAAGCATTTCAATTGAGGCAGCAGTCTCGGATGCCACGTTACCCTTTGGGCCATCAGGGGTTTTGGTAAATTGGCAACTTCGCTTTAGATATAATTGTCATTCCCGCGCAGTTATTGAAGAGTGTCAATTTATTTTATACATACTGAGATTTTCACGAAGAAATCTGTTGTCTCAAAACCCAGTTCACAGCTTTTACAGCCAATCAAATCAGGGAGAAACGACAATTTCACGTATGGAGAAAACGTTTCGTCCAATCACGAAGAATCTGTCAGAAGTACTAGGTTTTGTGCCTTCTCCTCTTACTGCCCCGTCAGTTTACTTGAAACTTAGCCTCGTCGTTGGTTGTGTAAACATTTTGAAAGGGACTGACAGATCTGTAGTCAAATTTATTTCATAAAAAATTAGCCTTTTGAGATGGCCGAAACCTCAAGTTTATGATTTCCCGCGTTAGAAAAGCCCGTGAATGAGTTTATTCAAGAGCAGGAAGACAAGAAAACACCATCAAAAACGCGGAGAGACATTGCCATTTTAATGGCGTTTTTGAAAGAAAAGAATGAGGCGAGAAAACTGGAAGAGATTCCACCAGAGCAGCTAAATGATTTCTTGAGTGAATTCGTAATAACTGTCAAGAAAAAACGTTGGCCAGCATGGCCAACGCTTGGCCAGCCAAGCCACCGTTTATCTATCGCCAAATCGATATGCTTACAAAAGTCTTTCATGATTGAAGTAAACTAAATGCACCAAAGCCGGACACGAATACCCCTAAAAACCAGCAGGTGGAAAAAACGGAGAACGTGTATCCCCAACCAAGGCAGCGGTGCCACTCTTGGGGTTTTTAGGGTATCCTATGAATGACATGTTATACACAGTTACATATAATGTAATATGCAAGTACAGCTCTAAATTTATGCAAAAACGAAAACGAAAATGAATAACTAAACACGGCGAAAGCTGACCCGTAGAATGCATTGCCCTACTAACGACCTCTACATACAAACCACGATCCCATAACTCTCCGCGCACCTCACACCCGCCCCCATTCCTCTGATACGTGCCGGCAAAATATTAATTTATGCTAATTAGGATTATCACAAATCACATTTTCTATGAAAAGAAGCTACAAGCGAATCAAACAAATTCTTGAATCGTCGGATGATGACGACAGCCCACCACTTCAATGAAAACCCTTACCACTAACTGGCTTTTCTTAAAATATTATTAAAGTGATCGACTTTATCTTTATCTTTTACACTCATGCTACAGATTTGTATGGTAGAGGGCAGCCTTAAGGTACCCATGTTCTTCTGGAAGTATCGTCCCTTGATAGTTTATTGCGTTATTTTCAGAGTATATTAGTCTAAGTGATGAATTAAGTACTTTGACTTCTCATGTTAAGTTTGTTGCGATTGTTAGCTTTTATAAGATATTAATATGATTCACCAAAATAATTTGAACTTTGACAAACTACTGATTCCTTACAAGTAAATTTCATGAGAACCACTCTAACAACCCCATAAAATTGATAGTTCATCTGCTAATAAGCTTCGGTAGACTCTTTGTTTTCTTTCATTGATAAGAAAGATAGCAAGTTGTTTTCTTGCATGGGTTATATGTCATCAACTTCGCACTTGGGGCTGCTTATAATTAAAAGCTATCTCAGCCTGGAATCTTTTGTTAACCAAGAAAAAGAGAAAACAGAAGAAGACAGCCTCTTTGGCAAATGACTCACCCTGCTACAACCTCTTAACCTGCAAAACAGAATTTAATAAAGTCAAAACTAAGCGAAAAAAATGGAAATAGTGTCTAGTAATATGTATTGAAATAATAGCCAATGATATATGACACCACCTCCCCCCACCCCACCCCAGGAAAGGGTCTTCAAACAACATACAAATGCTGTTTTCAGCTCTCTGTTTCACACATGTGAGAAACATGCATCTCTAGCATACCAAGACAGAAAACAGTTACAGGATAAACCGATAATTGCATGAAAAAACTTACTGAGGCAAATGCAGATATAGGAAACAAAGTTTCTTTCCAACAGAAAGCCCGAGTGAACGCAAATATGTACAAGGAAAACAGGCCTCTAAGGGTAGCACAATAATCAAGTATTTGCTTGCAAATACAGCTTAATCTGTCGCTGCATTCT